GACCAGCCGAGGGCGTTTCTCGTTCGCTGTAGCATAGGGGGTACGCGCGGTGTCGGAGGGCGCGGTGTCCCGGCCCTCCTCTGTGTGCCAGGCTCCTACTCAGTACTCGTTCCTCGCTCGGTCGCCGCGGCTCGCCAGGTTGTTCCCAAGCCTTCGCGTTACTCCTGGAAAGTCTGGGTGGTACTCTGTAGTGGACTGGTCCAGTTGGTGTCCTTCCTAGCAAAAGGTGCGCCACTGGACTTTCCATTGGTCCACGCAGGCTCGGCGCCCTGCTGTACAACAGAGCACTACCGGCCTGTGGCCGTGGTAGCCGCCGGGCTCGCCTAGGGACGCGGAAGTAAACAGACCGTCGAGGTCTTTTCTACTGTGCGCCGAGTGCCCCTTGACCGTTACGTGCTTGGAGCGGTGGTCGTTGTCAGAGAAAAAAGGAGGTTAAGCAAAGAAAACAAGAAAGAAAAATGAAATGTAAAAAGGAAAATGAAAAGAAAGCTAGAGGTCTAATCTGCGCGACTGAATTGACAACCTTAATTCGGGGAAATCTGACGGCCTCTAGTCACTCTGTCGTTACGTTTTCGTTCTTTTCTTTATTAGTATTATTATTAATTATTATTATTATTATTATTTTATTATTATTATTATTATTTTATTATTATTATTATTATTTTATTATTATTATTATTAGTAGTAGTAGTAGTAGTATTTTTGAACTCTCAGATGCGGCTTTCTTTTGATTGTTGTTACTTCGCGGGAATGGTCGTCAACGGTTCAAATTCAAACCCGAATAGTTTGATGCTCTAGACTGTCAGGCCCTACGTTTCCCAATTTTGTGAGTCTAGTCGGTGGGTCGCAATCAGTGCGGAACCCCAAAATAGGGGCACCCGGGGCCGCTTCGGTAGGAAGCTCATCACCCCCTGTAGGAGGTCATGAACCCCCTCCTTGCCATCGGACGCGGGTACCCGACGGCAATAGCTCGAGGGCTTCTCTTGAGGGGGAAATCTGGTGGCTGGGATCCCGTTATGGGACCACTGTGCGCCGGCTGTTGTTCTATAGGCTGAGATGCAGTGAACGCTGGACTTCCACTTTCTATAAAAGAAAGTGGTCTCCCGATCTTCTTCACTAGAGTGCAGAGGGTGCACTTGCTGTTACTCGTCGGTGAGAGTTAGTGGCAGTGAGCTGAGGCCCTCGGCTCTTGACTGCCTGGGTTGGCTAAAGCTCGCGCGAATTGGAAGGTGGGACGGTGACGTGAGCTGGTAGACCTACTGTGCACGCGTGCGTCGGGTATCGACTCTGGCTATACCTAGCAGAAGGTGGCCATGGCGCGGAGCAACGGCCTTTTTGGCTATAGGTCAGGGCATTTAAGGTTCTACTGGAGTTGGGAGCCCATGCGCGAAGAAGGAGCTACAGTGGATGCCTGCCTGAGTTACACCAAAAGTGACGGGCTGGCTAGACTAAAGATCAATGTCTACGGCGGGAAGGAGCGAGGAATGAGGGAGGACAAGAAAGTCCAGGGCGTGGTTACTGAGGCTCGAGATCGAGCCGAGCGGAGGTGCAGAAGGGACGGAGTAACCGCGACCCTGAAGGACACGGTCACTTACCACGAGGAAGAGACTACCACGAGTACTACTGAGCGTGAGCAGCAGGAGCTGGACCGGGACTCAGAGGCTGAGTCCGAAGCTAGCGACGCGCAGACACAATCGTGGCATGGACAGGAGCAATGGAGGAAAGAACACCCCCCCGCGGAGTCCGTAGAGGACGGTCCTGAGGCCAGTTCAGCTCAGCGGAGGGACTGAGACGGCGAGGCAGTTACACGAGAGAGGCGTGTGGGACTCAGAGAGGATATACGGAGGCAGACGCGCGGTACGAAAATATACGGGGCGCGGACACCAGCGGAGAGCAGCATGTATGCTTGGAGTGTTGACGTCAACTTGACTCTTGCGTGCAAGAAGTTAAGGTGACATACTTGAGAGCCAGATCGAGGGAGCTGATTGCAGCCTGAGGGAAAGAGGCTAAAGCAGTAAGAGCGTGAGGTGGTTACAGTCGAATGGACTAACGCGTCTAGAGGGGAAGTGAGTGAGAAGGTTAGACCTCTTGAGCGTCGCCAAGTGTGGCGAGCATCAGTGGGCTCTCACGCGTTTCATATCAAGAAGGGTGATCGAGAATTGAACGTCGTCCTTTTCCTTCTTTTGGAAGCGTCATCGCTTCCCTTTGGAAAAATCCCTGAATTTTGGTGAGTTTAGCGGGTACAGGCGAGAGAGTGAAGGCGACGCCCATGAGAGGGAAAATCATACACGCAGGTCCGCTGCTAACGTCAACAGTCCTGGACGAGCCTGGCCTGACTATGACCATAGGGTCGACCCATGTGGACTCGGATGACAGAGTGGGTTTCGCTTGCTGGCTATAGCCATTGGTAGTGTGTTTGGGTTCTGGCTTGTTATGTCCATGTATAGTCGCTGGAGTGAGATATCGCTGCGCGAGGTGACTATTGACTTTGTCTGATGGGCCGTGCTCGTAATAAGTAACGAAGCTGAAGTTGAGCCGTAAAGATGAGTACTGAGTGACCGCGAGCAGTGTTGACGTTCTGTGGGTGGAAATCTACGTCATCAGGTGACGTCGACACGCATCACTAGAGGAGAGTAACGCCCTGCTCTTTTCTTGGTCATTGGCATTATCAGCTTTCTGTCGAGCGGCTTCTCCTTCATCTCTCCTTTTCTTCGTATAGCTGTGAGTAATGAGCCCCTGTAAGGCAAGAGCACGGGACTGGGCATTAAGCCCTTGAGTGAGGCGAGGGTTACTTGTGCTTTTGCCTCAGGTCGTCGATTAGCGCCAATCTTGGGGCCGTCGAGCGAGATCGGGATATAGTTCGTGAGTGTGCCCAGGGGGATCGGTAGGTAACGAGTGAAGCCTGGGGGGGGCGTAAGAGGGAAGGAAGTGATTGTGAGGCTGACTTATCTAGTTGTTGAAGTCAAGTTATGAGACTGTGCGGGAAGAATAAACTATGAGCATTGGTTGGAGTTTTATGTAACTCAAGCTACTCTTGACGAGGTGATCTCATGATTGGTTACTATTTGATTAGTGGATACAGAGGTCACGCAGAAGATAAGTATGCTTGAGGGCGTGGACTGCTTTCTTCGTTGTCAGGATTCGGGTTGACTGCTAGTTGACCATTGCTTCTAAATGCTTTAACAGAGAGTGAACCATTGTCCTGTTACTCCCCTTTCCTCTCAGGTTGTCGTTAAGAACTGATGCAAGGACAGAGGGAATGCTAAGAAGAGAAAGCAATGATTTCTGTTAATTACGATGCGACAAGACGGTAGTGATGTAAATCCAGATGAAAGAATCTCGGTCCCCAACGGAAAGTCCATTCTGTTCATTTCGTGACCTTCTAATCAGAAAAGTCTAGGGAGGCTCTTCATTGACTACTGAATTGGAGGGAGTGGATCTTTTCCCCTTCTTTTCCTTTTTCGTTTTCTTGAGAAAGTATCTCGGGGCACAACAAGCACTCATCTCGAGATCGATGAGTAAGTGGAAGTCAGTTTTGGGTAAAATAGCTTATCTGCTAACAAAATATTTACTTGATGGTGACTAATGAACTTCCCTTTAAAGTTCGCCTTTGACGAGAAGAAGAGTTGAAGGGTAAGACCTTGGTTAGCTGTTTAACGAGTAAGCAATCGAATGTGCATGTGGGTTTTGGGGAAGCCAGTACCGATTTTGTCTTGAGTGGGACTACAGCCTCTCTGTGTAAATCGGCTCTCTCTGTCCCTCTAACCTGTCGGTTTCAATGACGGGACAGGGAAATTTAAAGTTAGAAAATGGGTGCACGTGTACTCTGTATAATACTTGTTTATGCATAAGCATGCCGTCCTTACCTATTGATGATACCCCTTCTCTGAGTCACATCAAGGGTGAGGCCTTCTCTTGAGGGTCACAGTTGTCCTGTACAGCCTAGAGGCCGAGAAGTGGACCGTGAGAATGTTTTTGCAAGATTTTTCCTGACATGAGAGTGGGGTATTTCGCGTGCAATATTCTTACATAGTGATCGAAGAATGTGGCTGGGACGGCCTCGTCGAGAGGGATAACTCTGTAGTTCCAGTCAACCAATGGGGGCTTGCACCATTTAGAGCCTCTCTAACGTTTCCGACCTCTATGCAGACCGGCCAAAATTCACTTGCATCATAACTTAAATGGGCCACGCGGTCTACAGTGATACACCATGTGCGCTATCTGAGCCAGAGCAACACACTGTATTACTGTACTTCGTTCGTCCCAGGGGCAGGTAGGTTGCTACCTTTATGCAGACTTATTCATACCTGTCGTGAGTACAGTTGGAGGGAGATGAGTAACAGATCATAGTCAACTGTTATATTGAAGAGTCGGGCTAGTAAAGTCATTGCCGACAGGGTCTAACCACTCAGC